AGAGAGAGAGAGAGAGAGAGAGAGAGAGAGAGAGAGAGAGAGAGAGAGAGATTATATTGCAAATGTGAGAGGACAATAGTCTTGTTTAGTACTTGTTTAGTCTCACTTTTTGTCTTTTGTTTGTTAAATGTTGTTGGACATTTTTTTGAGAAATGTCTCTTTGTCTCAACTTTGTTTTAGATTGTATGTTTCAATAATTGAAGCATGTTAAACGATTTTTTAAACTTTATTTCCAGTGGATAGTCGGCATGTGCTCTTGTATGGTTTGCCCCTATCCTACTTGCCTTTCAGACATCTCTTGTCCTTCTTATGTCTCCTTTTTTTCTTTTTTGTGTTTGTTACTCTCTTGTAACACCTCTAATCTTCTTCCCTTTTATGACCTTATTGTGTTGCAAGTGCCGTAAAGCTCTTATTAAAGCTAAGACAAAAACTTTCTTTTCCTGTAGGAGAATGCCCACTTCCACATATCAGAAGCGTTGATTGCAGCGTTTGAGTCAATGCGATGGAACAAGGCGATGAAAAAACAGAGCTCAGGTCGACATTCGTCGTCATCGTCCAACTCGGACGAGGAAATCCAGGAACTGAGGCAGCGCATCCGTATCCGCAAACAAGAAAAACTCATGGAGGTGGGCATGTGTGGAGTTATGTTGTGTGGGTGGTTAGAGGGTGCCATGGGTAGTTCTTTAATCTTAAGTCTTTTCTTGTTTTCTGTTGTTTATGTCTGTCTGTCAGGCCTTTTCTTTGCACTGAATGGCTGTTGTTATCAGAGATGCTGCTTTTTGTAGGGTTTTTTTCCTCGTTTTTTCTGTTATTTTCATGAAAAAGAGCAAATATTATTTTCAGTATTTGCATTTCTCTTTAACCCCATTTTGCTTGTGTGCTATTAATTTAACTGTCTTTTTGGTTATAAATGCGATTTTGTAAATTTTCTTGTTATTTTCTTTTTCACAAAATCTTACTGGCGTTACTGTACTTTGTCGATGTGATTTTCAATACTTTAACACACACAGAAAAAAATAAAATACAAGAAAGAAACAACGAAAAGCTTAAAGTTATTCTACTGTACTAAGATAGTCTTGGTCTCACAAATGAAAAGTTCCAGTATGCTTTGTCAGTAAATTATGTTTTGTTGATTTTAAGCCTGACGTGTCATGTCTGCAATGTATTTACATTTTTTTTGACATTATAATCATTATAATGCACAGAAGCTACATACTTTTTTTATATTCCAAACCCACCCCTGTTTTTTCCCCCCCTCTAACCCCACCCCCACCTCGATGCACAGAAAGGGCGGCCTTTCCCTGCACTCAGTGATGGTCAGACAGACAGTAAGTACTCATCTCTAGAATATTTTGTGTGTGTGCCTAAAGAAAGGTATCGAAAGTCGGATTTTGACCATTTTGAGTTAAAGAGTTGTTCCTTACAGGACATGTAATGCTGAACCCAGGGGTTTTTGAATTTTTTTTAGATATCTTAAGTAGTTTTTTTAGATACTGCTCATTTTGCGAGGTAGGGTTTAAAAATATAATTTAGAGAAAATGAGCTTTTAATCTCCCCCTTCTTTTTTTTTGTTTGTTACTCTCCTGTACATGTAACACCTCTAACCTGCGGCACGCACTCATATGACCTGATTGTGTTGCAAGTGCCGTAGAACTCTTAATTAAACTCAAACTGAACTCGACTCCCCTTCCTCGCCAGCTGCCACCAGTAGCCAGAGCGTGTCGTCCCACGTGGGCTCCTCGGCGGACGTCTCCTCGTTGTCCGGTGAGTACTCCTCTGTAGTGCTGTGCAATGATCCATGTTCTCATAGTAGTCGATTACGATCGATTTCCAGAGGCGAAAAAAAAAACGACGATCGATTAATCGGGGAAAAAAATGGAGTTGTGAAAGGGTGGGAGGGAAGGGGGCGCGAGCCATGCCGGACACAGGGACCAGAATTGCTGGGGTTTTTATTTACTTTTTTGGCTTTTTTTGGCTTTTTTTGGTTGTTTTGTTTTTGTTTTTGGGGTTTAAAAACATTCTTTAATTTATTTATTCATGATAGATCTAATAAAGTTTTGGTAAAACCTTATGTTATTTTAAGGTGAAACTGAGGTCAGTCATAAAATTATATTGTTTCAAATTTCAAATCATAAACATTACAAAGAATTGAAGATCAATGTATAGATTCTAGATCTAATAAAGTTTTGGTAAAATCTCATATTATTTTAAGATGAAACTGAGGTTATGCAGTAAGAAAAATGCTATCAGGATCGACATCGAACATGGCTCGAAAATCGATTTCGATCTTGAGCATCGCGAAAATCGGCGATCAATTATCACAATCGATTATGCACAGCACTACTTCTCTGAGTTGTGTCGCAGGTTATTTTTGCTCTCCTCGTAACGTACCTCAAAATGTTGATGACCACACTTGCTCATGCGTGAACACAGCTGCCTTTTACAGAGACTCTCAACTCTACCGTGCACACAGACTCTCCCTCGGTGGATGGTTGGCGGGTGCTCTGGTGTGGTTTGCTTCTTCTTTCCTATCAAATATCTATCGTCCTTATCTCCCCTCTCTCTTTTTTTTGTGTTTGTTACTCTCTTGTGAGCCTTATAAATCTTCAGCACTTTGTGGAACACTTGACCAAAACTAAAGCATTGTTTTCAAATTAATTGCTAACAAAATGTTTGACTAATACAACCTGTCCAAGATGACCCCCCCACCTATTGTTGAGGAGAACATTGATGATCATACTAGACAGAGGGATGTCACAGAGAGTGTCATTGTGACATCTGTCTCCCTCGGTCAATATCAGTCGTAAGACACAGTGTGCTATTATCAGCTTCGAGGCTCGAAAGGCAAAAAAGTGATTTTCCTTGAAATTTTTGTTTTTTTTAGATCAATTGAAAGTTTGATGTCTTCTGTTTCATTTAAGATTTTTTTTTAAAACCGATCGACTATGAATTTCAAGTTTCTATCTCAATTCTGAGACCCCCATTGCTATGGATACATGTTGCTCAACTTCGGAGGCCATTTTCGCCATTTCGCGTTTCCTCACCTCGCACAATTAAAAGCTCTGTATTTTCATCATATATGGTCATATTTGCTTCATTTTAGTTTTAAATTGTAGGGCAAAGGTGATAGTTTTTTTAAGATAATGTTAACTCAGTTTGGAAATTTCCTTCATATGACTGATATTGACCGGCAGGGACACATATAGAAATGGAAAGGGGGTTGGGGGGTTGTGTGTACAGGAGATTGTCATGGGCAGGTGCTCGTTTTTTTTAAAGCGGGTTTGAGTGTTCATTGTTTTTTGTCATTGTTTGTGTAATTATTTTGGTCTCTGTCGATGGTTGGCGGGTGCTCTGTTGTGGTTTGCTCCTTCTTTCCTTTCAAACATCTATCCTCCTTTTTTTTCAGTGTTTGTTTCTGTCTTACTTGTGACACCTCTAATCTTCGGCATTTATGTGACCTCATTGTGTCGCAAGTGCTGTAAAACTTGTACTTGTAAAATTCGTACTAAAACTAAAAAAAGACAACTAAAATTGTAAAAGCCGACTCAAAAGAAAACTTCAACAACGCGATTGATGGCATGTGATTGATCTTTTGCCCTAAGTCTTGATGACCATCACTTCACTTCACAAGCGGGTGGTTGGATGACACCACCGGTAGCTTCTACTTTTCTTCTCCCCCCTCCCTGTGGTTTCTGTCTCTCTCTCGGTTCTCCCCTGCTCACTATATATGACCCCGTTGCTGTGTCGACGGTACCTCTCTTGACTCAAACCCAAACCTCACTCCACAGATACCTCCGAGTCTGGGGATGATGACGTGGATCACGGCCAGATAGACCTGAACAGTGAGTTATATGCACGCTGCTTCTGTCTGTCCGTCCGTCTGTCTGTCTGTCTGTCTGTCTGTCTGTCTGTCTGTCTGTCTGTCTGTCTGTC